CAGCCAGCCATGCTGGCTGGGGAATTCTGGGAGTTGAAGTCCACTCATCTTAAAGTTGCTGAGGTGGAGGAACCCTGTGTAAAAGGATCCTCTTATCCCATGGCAGTTAAGTATGTTCAAGAGCCTTTGATGAGGAATTCTGTCAAAAGTTTTTTGAAAATCCAAGTATACAGTTTAAACAAGGTTATCTCTGTCCATGTGCCTAATGACAGAAAATCACCTGAAACCTTAGGATCTCACTCAAAATCTTGGGAGATTTTGGCAATTTATGATAAAAAGATTGGCGGGGGTTCTTCCGAACAGAATTTCAAGGTGCCCTTTGCTACCAGCCCCTCTTAAACCGTGTGATCTTTGAATTCTGCAGGTAATCGCTGTGTCATATCCTAGTAGAGGAAGAGGCCTATTTGGCAGATCTAGGTTGAGTCCAAAGAATATAACTTCCAAGAGATCTTGGGAAAAATTTGAACAGTGGCTTATCATTTCTGAAACAAACCAAAAAATCTCATGGTAAATCGACTACATTGCTAGTATCAGGAGTAGTGCTTAGGAATAACTGGCCCGTTTCTATTTTGGATTCTGTTTCCACAAAGTAATTCTAATATGAGTGCAGCTGATAATCATGGTTATGTGTAGATGTCTGTATCTGCAACCAACTTTCTAGAACATGGCCCTGTTTGTTCTAAATGCTGCCTTATATTCTATTTCCTATGGTTGCACCCAATTTCTTTGTGGCTTTCTTAATTGGTGCCTCTTTCCAAGATCTCATCTGCTCTTGAAGCCTAAGTGTCTAAGCAAGAAACAAGAAAGAAGGTCCATTTTCAAATCTTACCTTAGCCAAGTCCTTGGTAGGTCATCTTGCACAAGCCAGTAATAACTTCAGTTCCTATTCATATATGAAATATGAAAATAATACTTGCCTAGTTTATTAGGAATGCTGTATGGATTATAATGTTAAGTTTGGGTGTTCAGGTCATAATAAGACATGGTTTGTTAAATAAGCCCTGGTGGCTGGGTGTCCATGTAACACAAAGTCATTTTTGAGAGCATCTGGTGGACTTGCTGACAAAATGGCTGCCATGGGAGACTTGCGTATTTACAAAATGGCTGCCATGGCAGACTTGGTCAGTCACAAAGCACCTGCTGACCAGAAGGCAAACTAATCCCAAGGAACTCTCTATCACCCTCTGGGACCTTTATGAGACTCAGAAGCATTTCTGCATATGATGCTGAAGGTTGGTGGTTTGCTTTGCAAGATTCCAACTTCCTGTTCAGTTTAAGAGGGTGTTGTTTTTTTTTAAAGAAAATCAGCTGGGGCAGGGAGTCGAATGCACACACAGAAAGGTGACTGGGGACACCTTTTCTGTACTGAGCCATATGCTGTATGTGGAATGTTCTAGAAGCTCTAAAGTGTTCTTCAGCTGATGAGTTCTCACATCTCTCTCTCTTTCCTCCACTTCCAATTTTTGTTTGTTTAGCAGTTGCTGCAGGCACTTACCTGCCACCCCTCCAGCAGGTATTTCAAGCTCCTCGCCGGCCTGGGATAGGAACTGTTGGGAAGCCCATCAAACTCTTGGCCAACTACTTTGAGGTAGACATTCCCAAAATTGATGTCTATCACTATGAAGTTGACATCAAGCCAGACAAGTGTCCCCGCAGAGTCAACAGGTAAGGCAAGTATTAGCATTTAGCCATTTCTTCTTCTCTCCAGCCCTCACTATAACCCTCAGCTGAACATGTTCCTCATGTTCTAGAGGAAGAACCTGTGGGCTGGGAGGGGGCAGGAAGAGAGAAAGGCACGTAGAATCATTCCTTCCTATCTGTTGCCAAGTTTTGAGAAGCCCCATTTCTTGGCAAGCTGTTTCAGCCTACCTGGCTACTTGGCACTCTTCAACCTGGCTATGACTGGAACTGCTGTTCTTGCTTAGGCTGGTGGGAGTGAGATGAATTTTTTGATGCCCCCTCTCCTGTTAAACAGTGTGTTGTATGTCCCTTCTCCTCCCTCATCATCTCCGGTCATGCCTTGGTGGCTCAGGAGAAAACAGAGCCTTGATCTTCATCCCCGGTCAGTTTACAGCAGCTGGGTGGAGTTGGCTGGGATCCCAGGCTTTTAAAATAGCTGCTCTTAGACAGTTGGGCTGCCATTTAAATACTCTTCTTCCTGTAGTCTTAAACGTGGGAGGGTCAGAGATGTGAGAGGAGCCTATGCTAAAGCATGAAGCTTCTCACAGCTTTTTGAAATCCTGGAGTTGGGAGAGCCATGGAGGTCTTTGATTCCAGCCCCCTGTTCAGTGCAGGAATCTAATTTAAAGTATCTCTCATGGGCGCTTTCCTTGACTGGATGTGGTCCAGCAAAGGCTCGACAGTTCCTCGACGGTCAAACTGCCTTTATTTTTAGTACATTTGTCTTTATCTGCCTTCCTCCACCAAGTCCTGTGACAGCTTGTAGGGAGGCTGGGAAAGGAGTGGAAGGGAGGTTAGAGATAAACAACCAAGAGATGGAAGGTGAGTCCGTTGGAAGCTTATTTCATAAACGGCGATTCAGTCCAGGTGGCAGGAAACCTGGGAAGAAGAGATACCAAAGATTCAAAAAGACGTCATCCCAGTGTTTTTCAAACTTGACAACTTGAAGACGTGTGGACCTCAGCTCTCCGAGTTCCCCAGCCAGCAGTATCTGGAAAACAGGGGAGTCAAAAAAGCAAGAGGGCAACTGCAACTGCATGATGTAAGTTGCATACCCTTTTGAGTTTTTGGACATCCCCTGCTGAAAAATCACACTTTGCCAACCCAATTTAATGCAATTTATTATATTTAATATATTTGACTGTTAATGCATTGAATATATTTGACTATTACTTGACCAAATGGTCCCTAGCTGGTCCAGTCAGATAAGTTGGACTTTATCTTTCTGAATCTGAAGACAGTTTGGCCCATGATTGTGCTGGTTGGGTTTTATATGAATTGAAATCCCATGTTAACTGCAGGAGACTGAGAATCAGCGTTGTAGAGCTGGAAGGGATCACAAGGCCCATCTAGACCAGTGTTTCTCAACCGTGGCAACTTGAAGATGTGTGGACTTCAACTCCCAGAATTCCCTAGTCAGCCAAGCTGGGAATTCTGGGAGTTGAAATCCACACATCTTCAAGTTGCCACGGTTGAGAAACACTGGTCTAGACCGACC